TTTATTGATTTTTTACAGAGAGGAAGGGAGAGAGACAGAGAGCCAGAAACATCGATGAGAAAGAAACATCGACCAGCTGCCTCCTGCACATCTCCCACTGGGGATGTGCCCACAACCCAGGTACATGCCCTTGACCGGAATCGAACCTGGGACCCTTGAGTCCGCAGGCCGATGCTCTATCCACTGAGCCAAACCGGTTTCGGCAGATTTATATTTTTGATATTTATTTTATATATTTGTTAAATGCCATTTAACAAAAATCAACCAAAAAAATGAGTTCGTGTGTCACCTCTGACACGCGTGTCATAGGTTCGCCATCACCAATCTATAAAATGCACTCGAGGAGCTCACAATGTGAGGGTGGAACTTGAGGCCATATCCAAAAACTTACACCAGTAACACAAGGCTGCAAATGCTGACTGAGAGAGGAAGAACAACTGTGAAGAAAGCGAGACGCAGACAAGCAGAAATGAGAGTATGAGGTAAGTGGGAAAACAGCGGTACAGCCCAAGGGTGCTTCGTGTTAGCTAAATTCCAAGTTTGAACTTCACACATAGGTAATATGTAGGGTAAACAAAATTTATAGTCCAAGTTTGGCTCAGTGGATAGAGTACCGGCCTGTGGTCCTGGGTTTGATTCCAGTCAAGGGCATGTACCTACGATGCAGGCTCCTCCCAGGCTCGGGCCCTGGTCGGGGGCTTGTGCAGAAGGCAACCAATGGATGTGTTTCTTTCACATTGATGTTTCTCTCTGTCTTTTCCTCGCTCTTCCTCTCTCCCTAAAAACCAATGGAAAAATACCGAATGAGGATTAACAACAAAAAAGTATAGTCCAAAGAGATACTTCTCAGAGTAATGGGGGTGCTGAAATAAAGTAACAGGTGGCAAAGGCCTAAGGGAGGCACAGACTGGCACGCTGCAGGGCAACTGGAACATATAGTCACCCTAGCGACAGGGAGCCACTGGATGAGCTCCTGGATTAGGTGATGGCAGTGGCAATAGAAGGATGGGGGCAAATGCAGAACTAGTAAGTGACTAAATGCAGTGGGAAAATGAAAACTCTATGTGAATGTGCCTTCAAAGAAAAGGTGAAATTGGAGGGGTGGGGGGGGGGGGGGGGGTTTGG